AGAAAACTTTCTTTCTTTTCCCAAAAGGCTTTTTCTCTCTCTAAAACGGCACCGCTGCTTTTCAAAGCCCTTTATTAAAATATCATTTTTTAGAAACACACCCCTGTTTCAAACCAGCTTACTTTTCAAAGAGGAACCAACAATTGACAATAAAAAAGGCTGTGAAGTCTTTTTAAAATTGTAAAGAAATATTTATGGTTTTAATCAGTAATTTATTTAAAGTAAACAAATAGAAAAAAGGTGTTGTTTAATTTATAAGAATGTAAAGTTTATTTTTTTATATATATTGAGGGATGAGAGAGGAAATGATTTAAAAACAAATTTTTAATTCTAAATAAAATATGTAATTATTTTATTATATCAATTAAACTTTAAACCTAAACTATAAAGTTAAAAAGGCAGAAAAATTTACAGTTAACACCTCAATTTCTATTTATTCTAAAATAAATGTTAAAAGTCCAAAGAAAATTTCAATTTTCCCTTGAGACTTCCAAGGTTACAAGCTTCCACTGGTCGGAGGACACATCTCTCTCTCTCTCTCTCTCTCTGTTTCAACCTCTGAGTTTCTTCTCGCTCTATAACTAGGCATATTCATATTTGGGGTAGTGTGCTAGCAGGGTACTTGTTAGGGAGGCGTCATTAATATCCTAGCTCAGGAGATATTTATTGTGAATAAAACGGAGATATCTTCAACGCCAGCAATACCATAGCATGCTTCTTTTGCTTCCTGAACCAAACAAGGCCTTCTGTGGGGCTCGGGTATGGTTGCGTGCGTAATATGCTCTAATTCGGTTTGCTCTATCTGGGCACCCTTCTAGCCAAGGGAATCTCTCTGCCTCTCTGTACTCCTCTCTGTTTTTCTCGCTTCATCCTAGTTCACTAATCTGTTCCTAGACCCAGAGGCCTAAACGCCAAGTCATTTTTTTAGAGAGAGGAAGAGGGTATGAAGTATGGACTACAGATAGAAAGCGGGGGAGCCCACTTCACTGTCCCAACAGTCTCTCTCTCGGCGTGCTACACTTGGAGAGCGAACAAATAAATTAAAAAAAAAAAGGAAGATTGCAATCCACAGAACATTATTTCTATCTCTACATCTCTCTCGCTTTTGGCTTTTATTCACAAATTTTTGGCTTTTGCTTTCTTTCCCGGTGGGGCTTCTCTAGGCCGCTATATTATAATAGTGCTCATTCCAATCTTCTTCATTTGATGAGTTGAAGTTCTTTGAGCTCTGTTCTTCTGTTCAGTCTGGTATTTTTCTTCTTGAGGTTTCTTTTGACTATTCTTGGGATAATACTGCTAGATTTTTGCGATTTTAGGAGGTGTATGTCTATTGTTTCAGACGAGAATTTTTGTGTACATTTTAATGGTTCCGTTCTGCCAGCTATTTTTTTTCTTTTGAGGTTTCTTTCACTGCTTTACGGCCTAAAACTGTTAGATTTTGTTCGATTTTAGGATGTGGATTTTTATTGTTTAAGCTGAATTGTTTATTTATTTAGACTAGTTCTCTGTTTGTGTCTCTGAGCAGTATTTGTTTTCTTTTCTCCCAGTGCACTTCTCAATCTTGTTGCTGTTTGCTGCCCCGAAATTCAAAAAGTTGCTTATTCTACATCTGGCTTTTATTTGACTTTCCCACAATTCCTTGGTGAAGAAGATGGAGGGCTGTCCGAACAAGGATCCGCAGTTACTGGATTTGATACCTAAAGACAGAGAATGGCTTCTTCAAAGGGATGATGAACATAGAAGCCACGAGTCATTGGAGGAGAAAAAGCTTGAACTAAGGCTTGGTCCGCCGGGAGATAGAGAGGACTCTAATCTCTCTATAGCTCATCTCACTAACACCTTGGGTTCAAAAAGAGGTTTTCCTTCTTTCCCAGAAAAACCAGTTTTATCGCCTCCATGGTTATCTTCAAGCCACGAGGTACAGACCCAGCAAGGCTTGTCTGTTATGGCAGAAAAGTGTGCAGAAAAGAAGGCATTTTCACCCCCTCCTGCAAATACAGCTGTGCTCAACAGCTCCCATAAATGGTATATACCTCAGCCTTTTTTTCCCTTTTTTCTCTGCTTTTCTTTTAAAATTGTTTTTCTGCTTAGACAGAGGATATTCACTCTTCACAGCGCACTTTTTGACAGGTGCTGTAGCCCATGGATTGTAGTTTTGGTGTTTGTAACTGGGTCTAGTGGGATTTTTACTGCTATTTCTTTGTTTCTCTGTTTTATACAAGCATTAGTGAATACTAATACTATTCTTTATTTCTTTGTTTTCCGCAAGCGTTTTTGTCAAACCGTGACTAGGTGTCAAATTTCTTTTACTGATAGAAACAAATTTGTTCATTTTTTCTTGCATGCATTTTGTTGGATAATCTTATTAGTCTGATGGGTATCATCTGCAACAACTTGTTTAATAGGTGTTAGGCTTTTGCTTAAAGCACTCGATCGCTTTTATCTTTTTTGATTTTTTTCCCATCTCACCTGTTTGATTAAATCCACCAAAAAAAAAAAAAAAAGAAACTAAAAGCAAAAAGCAGCAAGCATGTGAGAAGAAGCACATGATAAGCACAAATAGCACGTCTTCTTAGTCATCCATAATTCCAAACATATATGTTGTTCTTATTTTTTACAATAAAACATTTCCATCCGAACGGATTAATTAGTTCTTTAGACCAACTCTTTAGTGTGCTTTATATGACTACAGTGTTTTATGCAGTCTTATGCACTTCTCAAACACCAATTAACCTCATCTGTATTTGTTCTCTATTTGCCTGTCTTCTTTCTTTGTTTGCTATGATTGTCGTTAATTACTTAGATTTTTTATCTTCTTTCTAGTTACGTCTCTTTGAAAATCTTGTCTTATCTAACTCTCTCTTGATGGTCCTATGAAATCAATTTGAACAACAAAAGGAGTGCTCCTGCTCCAGTTGTGGGGTGGCCTCCAATTCGATCCTTCAGGAAGAATATTTCGAGCAGCGGTTCATCCAAACAAACGCCTGAATCGCAAAATGTGGCCCCGAGCAAGGTCCCCAGTGGGCAACCAACAGCCGAGGTTTGCCGGAAGAGTCTCTTTGTGAAGATCAATATGGACGGGGTCCCCATAGGGAGGAAAGTGGATCTTCAAGCCTATGACAGCTACGAAAAGCTCTCATCTGCAATTGATGATCTCTTTAGAGACCTCGCAGGTTGTTTTACCTTTCTCTAATGAGTTTGCACTATTTTGATATGAATTAACTTGTAGGTAGAGGTGTTCATCTCATTTTTGTCTGTCATGGTTTTATATTCTGAAGCTCAAATGGACCCCTCTGCTAATGGAATGGAGGATAAGCAACTGGGAGAAAGAGCAATTCCGGGCTTACTGGATGGAACCGGAGAATATACTGTTGTTTATGAGGATAATGAAGGAGACAGGGTACTTGTTGGGGATGTTCCGTGGCAGTAAGTATCTGTCACTTTGATCTTAATGCCATATTAGTATCATACTTGTAGATTTTCCTAACTAAGGGGGCATTCAGTTGGCGTGTAAAGGCACGTAACAGATAAAATTATCTGCTTTATTCGCCTCTATCACGCGTTCAGTACGTGTGTAACAAGGGCGGATAAAATTTCGGACAGACTATTTATCTGGGTACCCCGATAGGGTATCTGGGGGAGATTGCCTGATAAGGCTTATCCCCTGGATAATTTTTTTTTCCGTTTTTGTCCCTTTCTTTTCCCCACTTCTCTCTTCTCCCCTCTCGCGCACAGGCCCCCTGCTGGGGGCCGGCCGCCGCTTGCACAGTCCTGCGCGAGCGGCGGCCCTTGCGTCGAGGCCCTCAGCGGGGACTTGCGCGAGCTTGCCAGGAGCCTGCTGCCACTTGCGCAGGCTTGCGCTAGCGGCGGGGCTCGCATGCAGGCCTGTGCGAGTGGCGGGCGCCTGCCGCTGCCGCTTGTAGGCACAAGCGTTGGCCGGCGCTCACGCAAGCCAGCGCCTCCGCAATTGCGGCCAGCCCTGCGCAAATTGCGCAGCCGCCGGGGCTCTTTTTTGTTTTTTTTAAACAGGGTCATTTTGGAAAAATAAAATTTTATTCTGTTTCTTTTGCTGTTGGATGGAGAGGTAACCAAACATGTGATAAGGGGGTGAAATACTATAGGGTAGGATAAATTTTATCCTGCCTGCCTATCACTCCTTATTCTATCTCCCAAAGCGAATGTCCCCTAAATGGATTGGCCACATGAATTTGTTTCCATTTTGATCTTTTGTTTAAACAGTAAACTTCAAACCTTCTTTTCTTGTCTCTAATCTTATATTCTTATCTGAACTTTGAGCAATTTTCTTCTAGTCTTCTGTTACTTTGCCTCCTTATGGCTCTGAGGTGCTTGTTTAACTCTTTAGTTTGGTTTCTTCCGTGTGCTATTTGCAGCATGTTTGTATCTACCGTCAAAAGGTTGCGCGTGTTGAAGAGCTCTGAGCTTTCCACTCTACAAGGTGAATTTCCTTTAATCTTTAATTTTTACTTTTATTCTCGTCGATGCTTAGCATAATTTTTGCCTAGTTTAAAGTTATTGGTGATTAGGGGTTTTGTGATTTTGCAGTAGGCAGTAAGCAGAGTAAGATTCCTCTTGATGTTAAAATGAAAATCAAGAGGAGTTAACATTTCTCTGAAGAACACCCCTTTAAGTTGAAGAGGAGGCATGATAAGTAGCAGATGACATTTTGGTCTATTCTTGACTGAGAGAAGAAAAGTAAAGAAAGGCTTGTGGGTTAAAACTCCGGCTGATTATTATATAGGTAGGATGAATGGACATGTTTCTCTCTTTTAAGTTCTTCTAAGATTTTCTCTTGCCTGGTCTACAATCGCAGACAATAATTTCTTATCTTATTAATGTAGAAAGGACAGATCTAACCTAATCTAATCTATAAGATAAGGGGTAATTGGTTTGCCAAAAACTAAGCTTTTTTCAATTGTTAACAGGAAATTAATTCTTACAAAATCAGCTTTTAAATTTTAGGAAGGCAAAGGATCCAAACACAAAAGCTCATATTGGGATCTCCCACAACCTGGGAGCCAAATGAAATGAAAAAGGAACACACATTATTAATAAATTTGGTTAAATTTTAATATTCTGTGCATACAAAGAAGAATTCATCACTTAACCCGCAAAGAAAAACACACAGCTCTGGGCATTGTGAAAAAAGTGGGGGCAAATTGGGAGCTAAGAAGCTTTTAAGCATCCAGAATGGAGCTCATAGTAAACAAGGCACGAAACAAAGTTGAAGAAATGAAAAAAATAGTAATGGCAATCAACTCCAATCCAATCTGCTCTCGGGAGATTGATATTAAATGTCCGTCTTACTGTCCGAACAACATTAAAAAAATACATAAAAACAAAAAAGAGATGTCTGTCTTGTCTCCATTTCCCATTCCAGCACGGCACATCCATTACAATTTGCTTTGCCCTAGAAATTAGACAAACGGCTGATACTAATTCTGCTGTTCCTTGCCAATTCGTCAAACTAAAATCCCGGTACTCTGCTTGTCTGTTTCATACTACGGGAACTACAGTGGTGTTTGGTGATGATACAACAAGGTTTTCCCCTCTCAATTCACCCTCAACTTTCTTTTCTGCTTCATCCATTTCATTGCTCTCCCTAATCTCTGCCATCTGTGCCTCCTAATCTCTCTCAACAGTAATACTAATGCTCACAAGATTCCTCTTCCAATGATGTCTGCGCGTGTAAACTATGATTACTGCTAAACAATTTGATCTTAGAAGTTTGGGTCAATTAATGAGACATTGGGTCATGTTCTACAGATTCTTAGTGTGTGAGAGGGAGGGAAATACAGTTCCAAATGAAGTACAACAGCGTAAATGAAATGGGTTTTATGGACTTGTACAAAGCAAAGATAAAACACAAATGAATCGAAATGTTAATTATGGTGCCGACAAGGAGAAGAACGATCGTACATCATTTTTAACATTGTTGAAGAATACCTTCAACAATGTAAAAATACCACAACACGCAGTTAGGTGGTGTTCAATCACCTTGATTATTGGGTTTTAATTGCTGTTCAATTTTTAAGCAAGAAAGATAGACGTCAAGATTTCATAGTTCTTTTTTTAGTCTTTAAACTAATTTAACTTTTAAACTTGAGTAAAAAACGCATAATCTAAAAGAATCCAACGACTTTATTTTTAAACAGCAATTTGCAAATCTGCAGCCAGGAGGAGTTTCTTATGGCGTCGGTGCGTCATTCAATTTCAAGCCCCAAGAGCCAAGTTTCTGCTCCGTGATCCTGTCCATGTGGCGCGCCATCTCGGCCGTCAGATGATTCTTCCAATCTCCGACCTCTCCTTTTCTAAAATAGGTGTTGTTCTTGATTGCCACAGGCGTACCTTGCCGGTGTTTTCCTTGGCTGTTCACCTTTAAATTGCTCAAATTCTCAAAGCTACACAACTCCACAATCCTCTCCACCAACCCTTCCCTGTTCTCCTCCGAGTCAAATGGATGGCCGATGAACTCAGCGAGTCGCTTTACATGAGCAGAGGTCTCTCGCTTCATATCTTCATATTTCAAGAACAAAACCCTCTCAGGCTGATCCAAGCTAGCTTTCCAGTACCCCAGAATATGGTCCCAACAGGGCCCATATAAGGAAATTCCCCTGCAAAACAGCTCAAACATAACGTCCAAAGGCAAAGATTCAAATCCAGGCTTCGCCCTTCTGGCAAAATTCCAATATGAGACAAATGCATCCTTCGGGTCCCTGCATATATACACAATTTTGCAGCCAGAAGATGATATGGAATTGGCCAAGGCAGAGTATGGGAGGTGAGTAGAAAGCAGCGGAAGCTCTGGGTGTTCGCCCTTTTGGGCAATGTCAACTTCTAAAAGTGGCACACAGTCATGGGGCATCGTGGAAAGCAAAGGACTGGAAGAGAGCTCATGTCGTGTTCGGGTCAGCACCGTGAAAGCCAGTGCTTTTAGCCACGTAGTGCCCGATTTCGGGCGCTGCTGAGGATGATATCAGAAGGTTGAGCTTTGAAATGGTTTTGAACCCACTTGACTCCTTCCAAGAAAAATATGGGGTACCAAAAGCCTTCGTGTTCAGAGAGGAAGTCTTGGTGGGATGGCAGACTGTTACCTTGTGGACAAGCAGATGCAGTTTCTTCGGATGCCGGATGGTTCTTTTCATGCTCAACTTCTCCACTGCAAGTAGTTTCAGAGCCTTGGCATCTTTCTGATTCCATTATAGGAAGCCTTGCTCTTTCTTTCTTTAGCAGAGTAGCTGGCTTGGCAAGATATCACATCATTATATAGGAGCTCAAATGAAGTAGGATTTGTGGTTCTGGTTCACATAGAATGTTTTGGGAAACAATGCGAATACATTCCCTGAACTATTATTTGTTTGCAGACACACCTCCTAAACCATTCATATTATGTGGCTTCATGCCACAAAAGCTAGTTATACATCATCGAAACAAAAGAACACAAAAGCAAAACAGGGGCAAATAGCAATAGAAAAAGTATATTTAGAAGAAAAAACCCAAAACGAAGCTCAGGAAACAGTTTTTTTTGAGGGGCAACCACATAAATAATCACCCATTAAATTTATTGGACAAGTGGGTAGTTTAAGGACTTAATTTCCAAACAAAAAATCTAAGTGGCTTGTTTGCAGAAAAAGTGATAGTTTAGGGTCCGTCTGCAATTTTCTCAACATTTTTGCTTCTAGCCCTCTACTGAGTCGTGTTTTAGTCATATCGTTGAACAATGATCTCAATTTTTAAAGCTATGTTGTGATAAGACGAAAGCTCTGATGGGACCATTAGGCCAAAGACGTATTGATTCAATTTAAGTGAACCACTAAACCTCTGTGAAACAAATATTCGGGGAAGGTCCACAATTTATTAGGGGCAAATTCTGGTCCACAATTATGTATAATTGTGGACCAGAATTTGCCCCTAATAAATTGTGGATGGGCAAATTCTACATAATTGTGGACCAGAATTTGCCCCTAATAAATTGTGGACCATCCCCCTAATAATTGGCTTATGACAATATCTTCCATCTATCCTTTTGTCTGATGCTTTTGTATGATTTACAGGGACAGGGCTTGATGGGCGCTGAGAATCTGCATGCCAAACAGCCGGCGTGCATCTCATGGGAAACGATTTAGAGAGAGACCAATGAGGCTTCTTGGTGAATTCTTTTAGGGCAAGAAGAAAGGTACAGGGGAAGATTAAGACATCAAAACATTTTGGATTTATTTCCCTCTTCTCAATCCTAAAATTAACACGTCAATCAAACGTTTTGTTGACTTCATCAAGGTTGCCTTCTTAATATTACAGAGCCGGATTAGTAGTAATTTTGTATAATGGCATTTTTGAATTCTTAGCGCAATAGAAAGTAATGATTAGATGAGATGGAATTAAATTTGTAATCACACGGAATTGGATTCATATTATGTGTTGCATTGTAATTGGTAGATGTGGAAATAAATCAGGCCATCTGTAAGTCAGTTGTAGTCTAGATCATTTTGACTTGTCTTAACTTAACTTATTTATCTAATTAAATGAGTTCTAAGTTAAAAAATTGATAATTTTATTTAAATAGGTTTGCTTGATTATGCTTGGTCCATCTTATAAGTTTGACTGACCGGCTTATATAATAATTATATATAAAATATATATTTTAAATATAATTTATATCATATAAATTGTATATTTATATAATATATAGTATATATTTGTAGTTTAAATAGGTTTGACCTAATAGGCTAACAAGTCAAGCGGCACCGTACCACTTTTGCAAACAAGTCAAGCCAAGACTAATTTTTTGGTTTGTCATAAATCATGAGTTAGGTTTAGGCTAGTAATTTTCATAGTAGGCTTAACCTTTTTAAGTTTCAGCCTTACTTGTTTCCACCTAGTAATTGATTCTGTAGTATGCTTGTAACATATGGAACAAACCAATATCTCAAGAACCAAATTGAATAAATTTGAAATTATGGGGAGTTAATTGAATCAATTTACAACTAAATAGGCCAAAATGACAATCGATCAAGATTCCAAGGGCTTTAATGTAAAAACAATAACAACAATTACTCTCAACTTTTGACTAGATAGCTCTACTCCCTCCTTGGTTCGATTGCCTCTTCTCATTGACAACCAGCTTGGCCAGCTTAACTATTACAACGATAGCTTTCAACAATTTTTGGCATCTCACTCTAAGACAACTTCTACTCTGTTTCGATGCCACATTGCTCTATTTTCTTTGACATTGGCTTTGCCTTTTGCTTTGGTGAACCTTTTTTGTTCTACTTCTACCATATTAGGATTGCTGGTTGAAGATTTGAGTTATTTCTATGCCATGGTCCATGTCATTTGTCAATGTCAGCTTTTATGATTTTCTCGACTACAAGCTTCTGCAAGTTTTCTTATGCTTTGTTTTTTTGGGTTTTGATATACGAGCTTCTTTCTTTACAAGCTGCTAAATCAAATAACAATGGCAATTTTACCTAATACAGGTAGGTATGCAATAACCCAAGTATTAAAGAGGGGCCAAATTGAAAGAATCAAAAATTATAAGGAGTAATTTAAACAAATTGAAAATTTCAAGACTTGAACTAAATATTTAAGAAGTTAGGGGACTGAAATAGGAGATATAAGAAACTTGGGGGACCAAAACTCAAAAAATAAAAGAATCAATCATCCTCAAGCCTATAATATACACCTCCTACATGTCTCATTCACCCTTAATGTGGAATTAGAGCTTGAGAGGGAGGGAGTTTAGCTGTTAGTTGCCGATCAGAGCTTCTAAGCCGAGTGGTTGGTTGTCCTCCAGGCAATACCCAATGCAAGGAAGGTTGCTACTAGTTGTATTGCACAAAAATTTCCTCCTCCCTCGACTAGTTCGCTGTTTTTTCTCTGCCCAATCGGTTGTAGGTAAGTTCCATTCCTTCTTTCCTTCCATTATCTTCATTTTTTAGTCTTAATCTCAATAGATGTTCGATCTCCTTCAACCCTATTTCCTCCGTGTGGTGGCTAGGGAGATTTGACTCTGTCATCCCTGTACACAGTGGCTGAAAGTTGCCAGAAAGGCTTGGGTCCATTTAATTTATGCTTAAGGCTTAAATGGAATAACAATTTATCCTCCTTATCTTTCCAGTGTCAATTGGGAATCTGCTTTGTAGCTAAGCACTGGTCGGCTCTGGTACAGGAGTTGACTCTATTCTTCCTAGTATAGAGTTGACTTTGTTCATAGAAGTGAGTTATAGAGATTAAATCATCTACAAATCAGTCTGGACAATTCTATGTTTGGTTTGTTGATTGGATTTTAAGGAGGGTTATCAGATCTATTGAAATGACAGTTCACCTTTCCTTTTGAGCAAAATTGTATTGTTAACAAGTGAATAGATCAACTAAGGGGGGAAGAGTTTTTTGTAAGAATTGTAGTAATAGAAAATGTCCCCCAATTAATGGCACATTTTATTGTTCATTCATTTAGGTAGTCTAACTCATGGATGGATAGCATGATATTTGTTACCCAAACATGTGTGTTTTCTCAAGTTCAACATAGAAAACAAGTAGTTTACTAGTCCAAATCTCCTCTCTCTATGAACGATAATCTAATTGATTGACTCTTTAAAATTGAGAACTAATTGTTAATGTTATTAGATTTAAATTGAGAGTTATTTGTTAGTAGCATTAGATCAAGCTTCACTCCGTTTCATGTGAAAGGCTTGAACCAAAGATGATATTCTTGAGTAATCGAGGAAAATTACTAATCCTCGTTAAGTGTGTATTTCATTGTTCTACTAAAGTAATGTTAAGATGTGTAAAGTTAATGGAAATAATAATGAGAATTAATTCAAGGACTGAGGAATATAGTGGTTGATTTAATAATTTTCTTTTGGAAAATTAGATTGGAAATTTATGCTCCATCTTGATTTTAGGATCTTGAGATTTATTAGTATCGATTAGGGAGTCATATCACATCCAAGATTCAACTCTCATCAATTCCCTACTAATGACATTGTGAGTGATAATGCTTGTTCTTTACATATATTTTTAATTATAATTCTAGATAAGTATATTTATATTTGATTCTATATAAAATGCATGTTCACAAAATTTATGTCTTCTTCATACTTGAATAGAAATGTTGTTACAAAATTAAAAAAAGATTTGTTCAAGGATTTTAACTAAAAGTTGGGACAAGTATTGCAAAAGTTATATTTTATGCTAGACTACTATTTGGACACTTTCTACGATTGGGATGATCAGAAATAAAATTATTTGAACACTTATTGACAAAGGATTTACAAACACATATTCGAAAGGAAATTGTAAATATTTTTGAAACATAACTTGAATATGAAGAACAGTGTGGTGGAATACTCTATGTTATAACCCTTCATAGCAGAGGGAATGTTAGGCTTGGTACACCTTGTTTACACCCTAACTAGCAAAGGTGATGATGCTAACTCGCCGTATTGGCCATGCATGCAGTTTGATATGTGTACCCTTGGTGGGTTAAGATGAGATATTACCCTTGATGGAATATGATATGATATGATATGATATCATTACCCTTGATGGGTTGTGATTATGGATATGGATTCGATTGAGAAGAAAATCTCCATATTGTTAATGGATAAAATTAGTTATGGGATAAAAGTATATATGTATTCTTGAACTCAATTTTTGAGCAAAGTTTGGCATTTACTTGATGCATATATACTATTGAAGGAATTATTGCTAAAAATGAATTATATTTTTCTCAAAAGTGTTTTAGTATAATACTAGTCCTAACATATTTAGAATAGATATTATCTCTTACTAATTTGTGAAAACCCACCCTTTTATTTAACATTTTAGATTCTAGTGCAAATCCTAAATTGGGTTCGACGATTT